ATACGTAATATATATATACATTCCAGGGACAGCAGCAAGCCCCGAATATCTCGAGTAAAATCGTCTTCTAGGCCGTGAAGTACTGGGTAGGTCTAGCGAAGCATAGAATTAAATTGGTATTATACTCCAGGGTAACATTTTCATGGACCGCAAGATTTTAACGCACCGGCCTACCACATGCCTGAGTACGTCCCTGGGTGTACCGTAAACTCGCTGAAGGAATTCCAGGTTGACAGGGACTTTTCCTGAGGACGTCGTTACCTCGAGTGATCCTTTCGACGATGGCCTTCTCATTTAGGATATTAGCTAGACTACGGGTGGCGTCGTTCAATAGAGGGATGAAACCTTAGTCCATTACCCTTAGCCTAAGAGATAAGAGGGAGATGAAAGTATCGAGAGTTAGTTGAACGAGAAAAAGATGAACTGTTGAGGATGCAGGGATGGCGAAGATGGATAGACTAACAGAAAGTAAAAAAAAAAGATAGAGAGACAGTAAAAGAATGAAAGAGAACGATAAGGGCTGAAGAGGTGCGCGAATAGGGAAAATGATTCCCAGGTGGGTATAAAATCACGTCACACCCTGACTGCACGCGCTTCCACGGGAATGAAAGCTTTGTCCCTTTATTCTCCCTAACCTCACTTAGCAGACAAAAGAAAGGGCAGGGTCGTCCCTCGTCCTTCTTTATTCGGGCTCTACCCCCAGGCTCCAAAAGACGCTCTGTCCTTCTCGTCCTATCCTCCGTTTTTCAATGGTTAGGTAAACTCTGAAACCACACAGCGTGCAAGGTCGTTAACAGGCCAGACGTACCCAGTAATTTGGCGTCTCACATGACGTATATGAATTTTGATATCCGGTTTGAAAATTTTCAAATTAAAATATCAAATATACTAAAATATTAATCAACGAATTTCCTCTTGCAATTAACCTCATTTACTCCAGTTCTTAATTTCTTTTTGTACAGTGACTTCAGCTTCCTCAAGCTCTGTTTAACCACTGATCGTCGAAAATTATTCATGAAAAAAAAAAGATTATAGGACGCTCTTCGTCGCGGTAGCTGGGAGTCTCTCCCCTTGAAATCATGAAATCGTCGTTTTCCACCCTTAAGGGGTCACCAGATCTGAACTTCTGAGGCTAAGGGTATATCGGAAAACATGCCGGGGTTAGTCTCCGTTGCTTAGAACGTCGCTCAATGGAAACAGATCGACGTTGGGGCAAAGTTCAACCATAGAAAAAGAATCTATTGCCACTTCAGCTCATGGGAATTGAAATGAAAAAAAATAAATAGTATACAAAATCAATGATTCTTTACGTCCCATAACGAGCTACAACACTACCTTCGATAATTGGTATCAATGTCCAATCGTGATACCAATATCATCTCTGTTCCAAATTCATGGCTTCTAAGATCGAATCAGAGATCTTGATTCTTCAATAATGCAAATTTTTCAGCGTGTTCATGACCACCCTGGATCTAAGTTACACTGTCCTCATTATGCACACGTATTAGCAATAGTTTTCAGAGCCTTCTCTGGTCTCGTCTGGTTGCGGTCGTTAATCGGATTGAATTTTATCCCGTTGTAAAAGGCGCCTCCACCTCAGTGCCAATCGACACTGGGCGTCCGTAACCATCAGCAATTTCACGTCGCGTTAATCCCCTCGTAAAACATCCAGGAGAGCGACAGGAAACGTGACACGTAAAAATAGAAGGGTCGCCAGCAACCACTTTGCTGCAGACTCTGAAAAAGACTTAAGAATTCCTTACAGGAGAAGCAGCATGTAATTACGTGGGTAACATGAGTACGTACCAATCTTCAGGCTTTCTATTGAGAAATCTAACCCGCCATGACATTTTGGTATTTTATGCAAAATTTACTTTGAAAACACCAAGCGCACCAAGCGAATCAACATCGATTCAACATACGAAACGAAATAGAAGACAGTTCGTTAAAAAGCGAATTTTCCAACTGTCCTCTGAGTGTGATAGAACCAAACAATTGCTCGGTATTTCCATCCCCCAAAAAGGGACCTTCAAAGGGCTCTTCTGTCAACACCAAGGGTTCCGACTCCTATTTTATCCTGTGTATACCTTCGTGTATTTGTAGATACATGCGAGTATACGTAACACCGTCTGTCCTTGTAAGCGACCGAGTCAAGTGTGAGTTTCAGATAGCAGCCCCTAGGCACACAAAATCTGGATGTATCGTTCTGAAAGAATTTGGTATATGTAATCGGGTCAATATTTGGTGAGGTCAAAAAAATAAGTAAAATTTAAATAAAACGCTTAAACCCTTTGGTCGAAGACACGAGGTCAATTCTCTTTTAGATTTTATTTCCTTTCATCGTAGGATTCCATCGTCGTAGAGTGCCATCGAGCTGGTCGCAATCTCCAAATTTATGGAAGTTCTCAACAAGACGACAATCCAGGGGCTGCCACGTTCACCGAAAACGGAACCAGTCGTTCTATTGATCTCGAACGAGTGTGGACCGATAGAATTAGAAGATCTTGTCCTATTAAAATGTATGTGCCAAATAGACTGGATCTGTTGGTAAAACGTGATGTTTTACTAACGTAAGGACTGATTCCTGAACTCATCATATGATTCTGCCTTAATCGATCACTTGATCAAGCACATAAAAAATTCCCTGTGAAATAAACAAAAAAAAGAGATAATAATGTGATAATAATTTAACAAAAATATGATGACAGGAAGTAATTCTCATTGATGTCAAAAAATGTATAAACGTCCACTGAGAATGATTCGCGTGGATTTTTATCTTGGCGCGTGCAGTTTTTTTGGTCAGGTCTACCACCCATCCCCACTAGGTACAAAAAACGTGCCGAGTGAGCCCATTGGTACTTTTATGAGACGTATTTATCAGTTTGGGGTATCCAATGAGTATATTATACAGAATGACCCTGAGGTACCAGGAGCATTCAGGGTCTGGTCTAAATATTTCATGTAAAAAACATTAAATTTATTTTGCCCAGGAATCTCCCCACTCGTTATCCAGGCTTCCTATAACCCCTAGGGACTCTGGTCTGACGCGGGCTTCACCCTAGGGATTTATTAGAATTACAATAACCACGCCGAGAATCAGATAGGTTTTTTATTCAAATGTCCTTTGCCCGCAGGAGTTTCCCTATAGTACAAAGCTACAATCCTATAGACCTATCAGTCTGATAGAAGCTCAGTATACAACAAAAACCATCTCCATTCGACTGGCATTAACAGCGATTAACTCAACGAAATTCCCTACAAAAACTCATCCAACTGAATTGTCGTCTACGATTCAGTTGATACCTCAAAGATTCCACTTGGCTACCTTGATCTTCTAAACCTATTATCTATTCGTATGTGAATCAAAATCGTTTCCACTTCAGAAAGGTATACGAGTATTACCAACAGACATATATTAAATTACTTCAATCTCTTTGAGCAACCTTCTCCATTCTGATCATCAGACGCAACATATCCTGGAAGGTCTTCGAGACGATAGTTCCCTAAATAATCTTCCATGAACTCTAGATACTGAATAATCGACGGTCTATGCAAACAGCCTGAGATCATCCATTAAACACTTCCCTGAAACACACTGCACGGGGTATAGAGCAAGACTACCAACAATGACTGTCAATTGTCTAGAGTCTAGATCAAGCAAAGTTTCTGATTTAGTGTAGACTAAAATCATTTGGCTTAAGGGTGGCTAGTTAGATACACAAGACTATGTCTATAGACCGTACAGATATGTACTGTACCGTTTGTTCTCGTTACGTTAACTCGACTCCACCCATTATCTATGTCCCGGGCTTCAGCTATATACCCATCGATAGTAGCTGATCTTACGTACAAGGTAGGAGCTAGAGAAGTTTTTACGCTTGGTTGACCATCAAGAAATTCAAAAGGTTATCCAACCTCTATCTACTTTTATCCACTCCGCGGAACATTAAGGAGCCAGGATATCATCCAACCGGCATAGTGGACGTATATACAGATATACATCCCCTTGCCAAAATATTGAGTACCATCCAATGAAATATGCTCAAGCGATATCGTTATCTCAGGGGGGAGGCTCCTTCTTTACTCTTCGCTCCTTGTATCCTTGTTCCTCCATTTCATTTTTCCTCGCGCTACCTCTTGTGTGTACTGTCGAGAGGGCGTCCTGAAAAATTGCAGTACTTAAACTCTGGATGGGTTACAGACTTTGTTTATCTCTTTTTTTTTCAGATGAATACATACAATTCTCTCGCTGCTACGAGCTTTGAATATTTCAACGGTTTTCCGAAATGCTTGGGACGCGTTGGTTTTGTTTTTTGTGTTCGCGAATTTTCCACAGTGAAGGCTGGCAATGGGTTTTGAACGGGATACAATATAAGGGACAGAGACGTGTCAGGATCAAAACGGTAAACGACGTGGAGGTTTGACGAACCGTCCTGATCATTCGTTTGCCTAAGAAATATTTTACTCGCTGGATATATCTTAAAAGGCCATTTCATTAACCAAGACATATTCTGGTGATTCCCAGGGATGCAAAATGTCACCAAGCACCCGGAAACGAGCGGATCGTGAAATTACTCTAGTCCTTGATTAAATAATACACGAAGTTACCTTACACCTTACACTATGCATGTTACGCACAAGCGTGAGCATGTAATGTATACTTTCCCGGAAGTACAACCCTCCTCCTATATTCTACCAAGGAGTTAAATCCCTCTGATCTCTCTCGACAGATATAAGCAGGTCACTCCTATCTCCATCTTCTTAGAAGGTAAAATTACGTATGCACCCTACACAGGATACATCCAATCGACTGGCTATATCATCCTGTAGATATATTGCAATAAGCCGAGAGATCAAAGTCCCTCAGAACATTGAAGGCTGGGTTACAAGGTACTATGAAAAAAAAATTCAGATAGCATAATCAGTTGGGATGACCCCACGAAAGATCAAAGAGTCCTAATAATCCTGTATCATATATAAAATATGGTTTAGTCACTCACTGATTGAGGGTGCGATCGTTGCTCCCCGTAGTCGCGGAAACCTGTCCTCCTGAGGCGCCTCCACCGGAGTCGTGATGTCTCCGTTCCTTGTGCACAATCCCCATAAGTTTGACCCAGGGGTTGTTGGCCGTGTGGGCGCCCATGCCCCCGCTGTGCCACATTGCGCTCGCCAGCCTCGCTCGTTCTCACGGGGCCCCAGATGGGAGCCCACTTGTTCCTTGCTAGAAACTGGCAAGGCCCCGCGATCAGGGGTGCCCACAGGAGGAGCCTTAAAACTAGTGGCCTACAGGGCAGGCTTGGGGAGGTGCGAGGTGCCCTGCACGGCCCCGTAGGCTCCCAAGGCCGCCAATCAAGCACCTCGACCATCTAATCTATCTGACCAATCTACCGTGGCTCCTCCAGCACCTCCTGCTGCTGCTGACTTCTTCTGCGTCTTGCTCTTCCTCTTCTATTTGATTTCTCACTTCCTTCTGCTCACGCCTTATCACTCAGCACGTATCACCCTTTTCTTTTTCTTTCTTTCACTGTGACACTATCACTCACTGTGATAACGTGAATCACGGATTTGGGATTTTTATAACGAATCGCCCTATAAGATCATCAAGGGGGATCCTTGCTCGGACCTGATCCACAGCTAGGACCCGAAGTCACTCCTGGCAATCCAGGATCTTGATGCTTGATTATTGAGTCCTTCCCATATCGTCACCAGTTGCAGACTTGAACTCCCTTCCTTGAAATATCAAGATTCTATTATCTTCACTGAGAAAATTAGTAAGGTTGGAGAAACTATGCGGAAGTAGCTAACTGCTGAGTGTAACGAATTGATTCGCGACTCTTCCTCTGGGAACATCGGTCCATCTTGGAATTGTTTTTCAGATAGAAAATAAAGAGAGACATTATACGGAGGATGATGAAAAATTTTGATAGTGTTCCCGAAAACTTTTTCACTCGTTCCACCGTGGGTCACCTCGACGACAGAATCCGGCGGAATCGGTCCAGGAAGAGAGGGCGGATCGCGAGGGCAGAACTTTCCGCGTCCTGAAATAACTTATTAACTCTCAGACCCCACAGAGTGTAAAGTTACCAGATTTCACTGGATAGAAAATCTCACACAAATTCCGCACACGATCATCCTCCTCTCTCGCTTACTCCTGCACGGTTCTCATTACGGTTCACATGGAACGGGCCGCAAGGTAGCCGCAAAGTTTTCAACCCGACTCCGTTAAAAAATAAACTCAATAGAAAACTTTATCCACTTGCAGTGATCCTATTATGCGCATCGGTCGGCAACCCGATGATGCACTAGGTGGACGATACTATGCGAAACCATAATAGCACGTGGCTTTAGGTGCTTAAAATGGAGAAAAGTAAATAATGTAAAAACCCAAGTGATTGATCCCAGTTGGTATTATTGTTTCAAAGAAAAAGAAAACCCGACGGTATACGTCACAGTTATAAGAGTACCATGCGAAGGGTACTCCCGTGCAATTAATAAAGACGATATCCAATTAACACTCTGAATATGCATAAGAAAGCAGGACAAAAGAAAAGCAGAGAGAAAGAGACCAGGCGAATTCTAGTGACACGGAATAAAATGAAGATCCCACCCAGAAACCACCCGCTTCGAGCGTCCTCAAAAGTTCTACCAAGATTTGGAATAAGTGAAAAGAAGAAAAAAAATAATAATTCAAATATCTTAAGTGCCACCAAGTACAGTTTTAATTAACTGAAGAAAATCTTTAATTAGGTTGCACGCACCCTCGTTCCACGTGACTAACGAGGTACTTGTATGTGTACGAGCAAAAAAACGCTGGCACACGTCAGTGAAAATTTTGAAAAATTTTTTCCTCGAATATGCTTATACACCATCCGTACGTTTTCACAGTGAAGATGAATAGACTCCTTCCATTCGCCTTGTTGATCTCTTCGATTCCTCGTAGGCCAACCTCAAGGATTTCGTAGCGTTAACGAGGCTGAATTCAGCAAGCACTACACTTCTTGATCACTGGCTGACAACGTTGTCCAAGATAAGCCACTGCACAAAAATTGTATGGGGAACCCATCTCGCACTTAATTTCACGAGTTCCCGTCGAGTACCTATGGCGGCCTTGATTCGCCACCCTTAGAGTCACTCATTCATTGGCCTATATTATGACGAAGCACGCGATACTCGCCGGGCGAAAAGCACGTTCCTCGAGGAGGCTCGTGAGCCTTTCTCGGGCCCACGAAAGCTCAGCATCGTACTCTAAAACGCACCGATTAAGAAACGCGGCCTGTCGCACCTTGCGTACTTGCTAAGGGAATCGCGCCCCTGTCACTGGGAAGACTCTACAACGGAACGCCGTGGGCTCTAGGAGCTGTCGTGGCAGAGAAATTTTCCTCCATCGTTTTATTTGTCTACATTGTTATTCAACTGTCTTAGACCTTCTGATCCGGACCTTCTTATTCCTGAATAGATCACTAAACTAGCTACGGGTGCGATTAATGGTTCCTGCGTTTTGGTTTTAAACAATTGTATGAGCTTAATGATATAATTGTATATCGATAGAGTATAGCCCTAATGATTACCAACTGATTGTTACGACGGAATATTCTCCATTATGGAAAACAGTCAATTTGATGGGAATGACAGTAATCTAATGAGCATCGAATACCGATAGCCGTGTAGCACCGTCCGTAGCACTTTCCGCATGAAAGCCGTTTCGAGAACCGATTGTGGTAAGCGGTACGAATACGTTCAAGCAGCGTCGACGTATTGAAAACTCTATCGTTTGCGCGTTGCGATAAAATATAGGAAAAAATTCCTGGGTGATCGTGTACCAAGAGTCGTAGGACTTGTAATGCAATCAGCGTACTATACAGGGAGAAACGCAAGAAACGGGTTTGGCAATTGAACAAGAAGAGGGAACGTGGTTTGGCGAATTTTGGCAAGGTTCACCCAATCGAAAGAGAGAATGGACTCTCGCCCTGGAGCGATATCCCGAGGCTCACCACGATCTCCAGGACACTTGGTGAATTCCATCCTCTCGTGAAATCGCCACATCCTAGATCCACTGGCCAGGTGCAATCGGTACCCCAGGTTCGGACCAAGGGGAACCACGTATTTTATCCAGGTCCCTTCAGTGTCTTCCTCTCTTGGAGCGGATCCAAGACGAGGTCCCACCCTCATAGACCAACGTAACTTTATATAGTCAAAGCGATCGTGAAGACCACGACAAGCTCATCCTCGCACTCCCATTCGCGATATCCGCGCAAAGGCCTTGTACGAATGAATTTCTACGAGAGCGCGAAGATGGTTTCGTCAGGCACGATCGGTCCGAGATCGGGCACCGGGACCCGATCGTTTCCACTGTACTTTCTTCAGGATGCTATATAGATAGCGAGGGGCCGGATGATCGGTAACTCGCGTTGCTAACGATGCGACAGATATATGCATATAGCGTATAGGAGGCGCGATTAGGCGGTCTATGGTGCAACTTTTGGATTTCGAACTGAGCTCTCACTTGGCCCGAAGACGGATGGCAGAGTAAGTACAGGGTAAGTAGTAGAGGGTAGTCGCGTGTCGGCCGAGGTAGCCGCCAAAGGAAACGACACACGAGACTCCCGCGCGGAGCCCAACGTTTCGCCTCACTGCCGGGCTCACTGCAGGCACTGACGCACCGTCCCTCCTCTCGCTCTCTCCTCTCTCACTCCTGCTCCTCCGTGAACCTCCTTCACCACCTCCGTCTCGTCCACCTCCCGCCGCCAATCTACCACCTAGCGCCTCCCCTCTCTCTCGCTCTCTCCTCGTCGAGCAGCATACCGACATCCTTCCACCCCTGAAGTACACAAGGCGTACGGGACGGCAGCGGCCAGGCCAGCGGCGCACACCTGCGCCCTACCTACCCCGAAAGCACAGTACCACCTATATCAGCATTCTAGCAGCACCACCACCACCATCACCGCCAGCAGCGCCAGGATCCCTCAACCTCTGTCTCATCTTCTCTTTCTCCCGTGCTCTGGTATCCCCATAGCTTTCTCCTCTTCTCACACAGCTATCACGGATACCGATCCTGAACCCAGAAACGTTAATAATTAAACACAGCGGCAACTTAACACTGCGGAACTTCTGTTTATCAATTCTCATACTTGATATTTATACCTGTTATTATTAGTACAAGACCTTCACGATATAACAAGAGAAGATCTTCGCAAGGAACGTCGAAAGCTAATCTCACAGCTTGCGTGTTTCTCATCTGCTTGTAAGTATCGACGTTCTCTACACGCAACTACCTAATGTACGTAACTTAGGTATAGATATCTTGAATATCAGTATGTTCAACTGTCTATCCGATACAGTCCCACGTTTCGTGAGAGATTCTTCGCCATTTTTTTTTTGAGTGCTTGATAACGGTACAGATACATTTGTGAACTCGTCGTATGGGGATGACAATATAGTTCCTCATACAGTCCCAGATCTCTCATTCGTTCTCGCAGTAAAAGAAGTTCATTCGCATCAGGAGAAAGCATCGTCGATTGGCGGTGGTCGACTTGGTGAAGAAGCGTGGGTCCGGCCTGGAATCCTGTACATGAATACTCCCAGGAGTACGCGTGAGCTTGCACGAAATTCCTCTGCGCAACGTTGCGCATATCGGCTGCCGTCCGATTCAGAAAGAACCACCATGAATACGAGTCTCCACAGTCTCATAAGCATTTCAATTTCGTCTGTCAAATCTACCGGGAATGTTCTGCCATATTTCGATGGTCATTCCACGTCATCTGCTTGTTCTTTACGTTATTCCACAAGGCTTATTCCACCTTTCATATACTGGCTGAATACACATTCCTCACGTGTAGGTACTTCTCCTTTATCTCCGTCGATGGCTCAAGGACTGAAACATGAAATAACCACGAATATTCGATGGTGCCGCATTGCTACCAGGGTATAACGTGATAATGCAATGCTCTATATCTATGGACATACCTAAACGTACCTAGCTTCAGGTACACCGGGGTTAGTACATACTTGGTGAAACCATGGAAACGGAAGTGCCAGGATGATCGCGACTTCCTCCGCAAGAGGCAGATAGATCCAGATAAAAAGAGAGGGGTTGGACGTGCTGTACCTAGAGGAATGCAAGAAAGGGGTTAACACATTGCATTTTACAGAACGATCCATCTAGGAGATGAAACCTGGAATTTAGAGTAATGATAGAAAATTCTAATAGGCATCTTTTGTAACAACGTTAACGGGAGAGCTCGTTATTGGCAAGCCTCTAGTAATGGACACTTCAAAGTGAAACAACTTTCTCATCTTGTTACTGACTAGAACCTAGTCCTACTTCCATACTTTTGAAATACGAAGCATATCCTGTCCTGAAGTATCCTGAACTCGTATAGCCTTTGTATTCACAGACATTTAATAATTGTAGATAATGAGCATACGTGTACTCCGTTTTTTTCTGTTTTGAATCTTAATATTTGAATCCAAGCTTTGATGTATCAATAGAAAGCACAGCGGAGATTTTCAGAAGATTTTGAAAGAACTGTTTTTCATTCTGCTCGAGATTGTCTTGTCCCTTGTATATCCTGCTGTAATGGAAAATCAATAAGTGAGGTATTACGGAAGCTGTTTTTATAGTCTTTTTAGATAGAGAAAAATTCGGCAAATTTCTCTGTAAATTATTGACATTTTGAATACATTTGTAAATGAAGGAGAATGAGCACACAGAGTGCATTTTATATCCGGTATATCCTGTAGGTACAATGCTAGTTTAATAACGAAGAAAACGAAGTTTTCACATAAAAAGAAAGCTCCTAGCTTCAAGGAAAAGGGTCAACTCAATGTGAAAGCGCAAAGGCGCACTTCTAAAATGAAAGCTCCTAAAGCTTTATAACGAAATCGCTTGGTACTGGGAAAAAAGCTTGCTTAAGGTTTCCCCAGTATATCCTAGTTGGCCGCCGTTCAGCTCTCCGTATACGTGTCACAGAGAATTCGCATTTCTTCAGGACGTTTGGCAAATGCCAAAAAAAAGGTAGCGACACGGCACAAATAAATAATACAGATAATTAAGTTCAAAGTATTTGGAGCGAACATCAAGGCTGGTACGGATAGTAAATTTTTGTTGGTATTAAAAAGATTAAGGTTCAGCGACGATATCTAAGAATTTGAATAGCCACGTGTCTGCTGCATGCCTCCGCAAAGCCGTAATGCGCACTTCGGGTTGCAACGTAATTAAACGCGAACAATTTATAATGCGGCAGAGTCACGAATAAGCTGTGGAAATGCCTTCCTGCTCTTGCCATTCTTGATTCTTGTTCGCTCTTACCCTCCGATGCTTTTTCCATCTCTCTTTCTCTCTTTTTCTTCTTTCACAGCTTCATCTCTAGCATAGCCGGTAACGTTTCTACCCGATATTCTCTTACTCGTGGCCATTATGCGGAACTGTTTTTCCCACGGTACATGCTCTGGCGAATTTAGATGGATATTAAGACTGCCATTTGTATTATCTGTCTGTATTGTTCATGCGCATTCTACCAGTCGTATCCTTCCTGTCTCCGCTGACACTTTCGACTTCACGAGATACATCCTGAAAACATATTTGACGTGAGAGAAGGGAATCATTTTAAAAAATTAAAACTTTATTATATACAATAGATCTACCTGTATTAGCATTCTTGGCAGCTGACATGATAAATTTCGTCACTCGAGATGATTATCAATGATACTCTAATGAGAACCCATTAATCCAGTGTACAACTGCAAACTGTCACAATATACAGGAGTATTCAGTACAAACGTTAAATTTGACAGCTGTCACGGAATCATCTTAGTTAAGTATCGTTCAACAGTGTTTGCATTAAAAAAAAAAAAAAAATATTTCCCTGCTTTAAACTATTCATCCTAGCACGCCAATCTCAACATTTCCCCAAGCTATCATCGTTCCTATTTTCTGTAACCATAACTTTTGAACTATTCCAAGTAACGAATAACGCGAGGAAAACTTTGCTTCCCTTAGGCTATAAAATATTGCCAAATAAACCAGCTTAACCAGTCGCAAGGCAAATGTCAGATTTGACAAATTCATTTAAAGTGACCAACCCTGTTGTTTCCTATGTTCATCTTTCGAACAATGCAATAACGGTTCTACATATCTATATATCTACATGGTGATCAAGCAATCTAGGGAATAGACACTCCGCACGTGATCGATTGAATGAATTTTCGAGTGGATTCTCGCAAAAGCAATTTCGAGTAACGAGCTATGCAGCGTTTTCCTCAGCATCCTGTTATACAATGCGCTGGTAATTGTTGTTCATGTTTCGAAGAACAATAAAAAGCAGTAAATGTGAAGCAAAGATAAAAAAGACCATGAGCGCTGTACAAAAATTCCAATAATGAACGACAAACAAAAAGAAAACGATTCAACGTGGCAGCGCGCACGAGATACTCATGTGTAAATGAAAGATACCATCAGAAAGTCTATCCAATTCTTCCAGCTGTTAGTTACTACTAGAGAAACCCAAATCGAGAAAAGCTCATTGGATACACAAGGGCATCCCGAAGACGACTCGCAGACAATCAACCGGCACATGGGATGAAGAAATGTTCTTCCTAGGAACGTTCTCAAAAAGTAAGAAGCAGGCCTTGAGGAATAATTATCACATCGACAGGACGGTCATCAATCTTCTCCCAAATCTTCGCGTTTCTCCTCGGAATCCACAAAACACTCAAGGCCTCTCCAGATTCTCTTCAAAGATCCTCCTAGCTTCGGCAACGGCTTCATACCTGTAGACTCCACTTTGTTCCAGCGTATAGGTAAATAAAGCGACCTGCTCAGAATCCTCCTGAAGAAGGAGAAAGAACAGTAAGAGGGGTCCATCCTCATTCTTATTCAGTCGCTTATTCTTGTGCTTTAAAAAAGAAAAAACAAAGTCAGTTGTCATGAATACGCCTAGAAGATGATTGGATAGACATTAAGCAATGATTTTTCTATATACCCCATTTTGGATTACGCTTTCTCTCTCTCTCTCTCTCTCTCTCTACGCTCCACGAGAACTTGTTGCGCGGATTGATCGTACAATCCTAACGCGCAAGAATATTACTGCATTCTGAAATGACAGCAATAAACGTGTACACCTTATATGTACAACAAATATAGATATATATTACCACGTAGTTGTCCCAGGGGAACTATCTTCGACACGTTCTACGCTCCACGAGAACTTGTTGCGCGGTGATTTTTCTATATACCCCATTTTGGATTACGCTTTCTCTCTCTCTCTCTCTCTCTCTCTACGCTCCACGAGAACTTGTTGCGCGGATTGATCGTACAATCCTAACGCGCAAGAATATTACTGCATTCTGAAATGACAGCAATAAACGTGTACACCTTATATGTACAACAAATATAGATATATATTACCACGTAGTTGTCCCAGGGGAACTATCTTCGACACGTTCCCAGAACACCTATGCATATTATGTAGATATAATGCATTTGCGCTAACTCCACCAGCACTTATGCAGTACTTACACGCTGGAGTTTTACGCTCCCCAACGTATTTCCACCTTCACCCTAAAGACTCACTCCCTTGAACGCTACCAGCATACTCACGTCTAACACGTACATATAAATACATTCCTTCTTCAGAATCCATAATAAGGAAAGAAATAGGAGGAGCCTCGTGATTCAAACCAGGGAAGCTTCTACGAAGTCATCAAGCAGTCCCACAGTGAAATCCAGTGATTCTCCTGGAGAGGGCAGCATTGTTTGAAAATTATGTTACGTCGTTTGGCCGCAGCCTTCAACGAGCAAACATTTGCTGTGTGGGCTTCCTCCGTTATAAAGTTCGTCTGTCCATATATCTACTTCTTTCTCCTGCTCTTCAAATATGTATCTGCATATACACTTAACACCCCACAGTCCTGTATACCGGAACATGTAAAAATGGTATTTCACATTTCTCAAGAACATTTGGAACCTGATGTACATACAGGATAGCATTGCGATAAATAAAAATAAAAAAAAAACTATAGCATTGTCCTCTACCTGTATTTTCTACGTGCATCTACCATACGTCCCAGTTTTTCCAGTTTCACCAAGCTGTTGTCAGCTCATCCATGCTCGCACGTAGAGGCGCAAGCTCGTACGAATAATTCCAAGAGTTAGGTCGTTCATGGATAAAAATAGCGTTGGGTAATTTGCCAGGTGACTCGATTTGAGTAATGGAGGTGTTGGCCGTAGGATCCTGGAGATTCAGAGTGCCAAAACGATAGAGGGGCTTTCGAATCAAGCTTCAGGCTTGGATCGTCCATGGATAGAGAAGCTATTGGTAAG